CTGCTGCCCAAGAAGACCGAGAGCCACCACAAGGCCAAGGGCAAGTAAGGTGGAAAAATACAATCTTAATTCATTGAGGGGTCCATTTTAACCAAAGGCTCTTTTCAGAGCCACCCGCGTACTCATTGAAAGGGCTTACATTTTATTAATTGTAGCTAATTGAAAATGCCCAGCAGGGTAGTTCATCAATCCATAAATACATGTCAGTACTTCCAAATCCTCAGAAAGGTGAAACTAATCATTCAGTTTAGAGTTACCATAAAAATAAGAGTTGCCATCTGTAGATTAAAACGGTATGGAGAGGTTGAGTCCCATGTTAAAATATATCAATACCAGAGTCCCTCAGTATTGTAAACCAGCTGTAAGATAGTGGGAAGGGTAATGCTTGGTTTCTGTTGAAAGTTTAGATCCAAATCTAGTTAGTGATCTACAGATCAATAAAACTATACCTTTATTAATATATCCTATTGAAGGCAGTTGTTTTCCACCTTAGTGGACAAAATCATCTGCAAATCATACTTTATTTTTTATTTTTTTAAATGTTTTATTTATTTATTCATGAGAGTCAGAGAGAGAGAGAGAGGCAGAGGGAGAAGCAGGCTCCCCACCTAGCAGGGAGCCTGATGTGGGGCTCAATCCCAGGTCCCTGGGATCATGACCTGAGCCGAAGGCAGACGCTTAACCATCTGAGCCACCCAGGAGCCCCTGCAAATCATACTTGAAAAAAAATAAACCAATATCCAACTTTACTGGCCTGTGCCTAATCAGTTACAAACTGGAATACAAAACTATATGCTCTGGAATTTGTTGTCCTTTATACAGAGCTTCCTAACTCAGGGTTCAGTATGACTTTAAAAAGATACACAGTGATCTTTTTGTACATTTACAACTTTGGGTGTCTTTTAACACCTTTTTACACAAACTTTGGTTAGCGTAGAGTAAGTATGTGTTTAATGAAATTATAGTAATAAGTGTGAAATTAACTCATGGGTAATGGCCCATTTAGGAATTGAATAAAAATATAATAAAAAATCCAACTTTGAATAGAGACATCAAGAAATAGACCTGAAATTATTCTTCCTACACTCCAACCAGGGTAAAAAAGTACTTGGCCAATCACATGTAGAGAGTGTCTTTTCAAAAAAGATCTAAAAGTAAGCCAGTTCCAGGGGCCAAACCTTACATTTTTATTGAGCCAACAAGGTATATCATTGCAACAATTGGTATTAAGTTCCGCTTTCAAAAGCCAAAGAAATTGTACATAAATAGGTGAGGTAGACAAGAGATAGATCAACATAAATAAGGTAGAGGAGAGAAAGTTGAAAACACCAGCAGTTAAACTAGTGGATTGGAGGAAGATGTTAATTTTTTTTTCATGGAAGACATTGATTTTTGTTCCAAATGTACTGGAGGTCCTGTGATTCAGGGAGTGAAATGTCACTACCAATATCTTCACTTGGAGCCCTAGGAAGCAAATGTCTGTCCAATCAGAATGGGACTCTCTTCATATACAACAGTGTGGAATGTATGGTTTCATTTTTCCATCAGCTACCTGTTTTGGTTAATTTTGGGATGGCTTGCACGATGTCCGCAAGTCACCAGCCGCGCGCAAATAGCTGGCCCCGCACAAGGCCACCGGCGGCAAAAGCCCCATGCGAGCAGCTGGCAACCAAGGCAGCCCGCAGGACTTCAAGACCGACCTGTGCTTCCAGAGCTCGGCCGTGATGGCCCTGCAGGAGGCCTGCGAGGCCTACCTGGTGGGGCTCTTCGAGGACACCAACCTGTGCGCCATCCACGCCAAGCGCGTCACCATCATGCCCAAGGACATCCAGCTGGCGCGCCGCATCCGCGGGGAGAGGGCGTTAATTCTTTTAAGCCAGTGACCAGAGCCTTTGAACCTT